ATGTTCGATTTTACAGCGCATGCTTTTCCTGACACAAGCTTCCCGTTTATCCGAGTTAGTACCAGGAATACTGAAGGTTGTGAGCCCTGAGGTTTGTGTCTCCTGCTGGTCTCGACCCTGGGATTTGTCACGTGTAAGGTAATGTGTTAATAATGTTTTATATAGAATTTGTAGCAATAAGCAAATAATTTTGTTTTATATAAAAATATAAATATTTTTATGTAATTTTATTTTTGTAGTGATTCATTTAATGTTAGACATGGATAACTCAAGACAACAATAACAAACAAGCATCATTTTTCATCATATTTGCTGATTTTGTATCATCAAGTTACCTGTTAACTCATAAGCAGTGTCGGTCCAGTTACTTGAAAATAGTAATTAGTTACTAATTACTGATTACTTCTCAAAGAAAGTAATCCTGTTACTTTACTGATTACTTATTTTCAAAAGTAATTAGCTACTTTATTACCTTTAAAAACATGATACATTTCATTTCATTTATTTATTTATTTCACACTTGGTACAAAAAATCAAACAAACCAACCACACTTCCTATCAAAAAGCTCTACAACCATGTGTGAAAAGGAGCAGGAAGAAGAAAATATTCTTATTAAACCCTGCCCACTATCTACAATCCAATTTATATTACAAGTGGGCACCAAAAATCAGGGAACAAACTAACATTAACATTTATCTCCGGTCCTAACCCAAACCAAACAACAAATTTACAATCAGAATATACCACTGCACATAGTAACAAGGAGAAAAATTAAAATTAAAATAAATAAAACAAAAATTATAATGGATCCTTTTTCAATGAACTCCAGTTTCATTCACATTCTTCATATTGAGTTATTGTTTTAACACTTTTTCAAACAATGTAAATTTATACAATTATTTAAATTATAATGAAGTGAGTTCCACAGTCGTATACCCCTAACCGTTGGACTCATTAATCTTTGTGTAGTCCTAACTAACTGATGCTTAAAATAAAATTTCCTTCTGCTATCTTCTCCCCCTGAACACAATAAAAATACTCTTTGTAACTTAAAGGGCAAAATATTATTTTTAGCCTTAAACATAATTAATGGTGTCCATAATTTCACTAAATCTCCTAATTTTAATAATTTCGATTTTATAAATAATTTATTTGTATGTTCTCTATATTGTTCTCTATATTTAATATTATGAATACGAATATCATTCGTATCACTTTCTTCTGTAATAAGTTTAGAGGTTTATAGTATTCTCATATGTATTCCCCCAGACTTCAATACAGTAACTAAAATATGAGAAAAACAATGAAAAATATAAAATGTGCATTGTTTTATAGTCTAATAAATCTCTTACATGTTTTTAACCATCTTCTTTCTAATATACTCAATATGTGATTTCCACGTCAAATTTTCATCTACTATTACACCCAAAAAACGAAATTCAGTAACTCTATCAATCAATTCTCCATCAATGGACATAATGACTTCATCCTCCTTAACACAACCTGAATATGTAATAAAGCAACAGACCTTTCAGCCCAGTTCTGTTCTTTCTGCGTAATCAATCATATAAAATTAAATCAAATGAAAAAGTCTATTTTTAAAAAATTGTTTTATTAGTTTTCATCTTTTAACTTCATGCATCAAGTGAAAATTAAATTATATGCAACTGTCTCTGACTGGAAGAAATGTGTTTAACAGTTAACCTATTTCCTGCATATTGCAGCACATAAAATATTTTTTGTGTGTGTTTACACTCACTCTTTCAAATAGATTCAAGTAAAACACAGTAAAAAATAAATAAAATCAAAGATTCAGTGTCTCTAAAATCACCTGTTTAGCAGGAGTGGGGCTGGTGGGGGTTTGCCCGGCAATTGTACTCCCTTATTTTACAAGCTACTTGAAAAAAGTATTTGGATTACAGTACAGGTAATCCGATTACTTGTTAACTCATTAACTCACACCTCAAACACATCTTCTCGCGTTACTGCCCATCTGTGCTCATAACTAAAACACTAGTAAATCCAGGTGCATCGTGGGCAGTTCTGATGAGCTACACAGAAACACTCACATGTGCTGTATAAGTTTCCTAAACACACTTCACCTGTTTGCCATCTGTTGTGTTGATGGTGAAAGCAGGCTAATAAAATGTTCTCATTAATGTCAGAGAGCAATTGTGAGACATGAAAAGCACAGTGGGAGTGGGATTTAAAATACCTGACATCCTGACTCCAACACACTGTTCAGAAACTTGAAATGCAAAGTAGTACATTCAAATTAAGCCACTGCATGAAAGAGTGTGTTTCCATGCTTCTGGGCGCATTGCCACTTTATTCATCCTGCATTTTTAGCTATAGGAAAAAATAATGTTTTTTAAGTGTCCGTAGGAGGCCTTGAAACAATGATCTGTAAAACCACATAATGACTTGTGTAATATACAAAATAAAATAACATGCAGGAGCTCCTTCATATATATAGAAGTCTTTACTGAAGCCCTTAAAAGTTAAGATAAATAATAATTTGGAAAATGGACATAAAGGTTAATTAGATTTGAAATGAGCCAGAAAAGACCAGTCTAAAAATATTATAGGGACTGCTTACTGTAGGAGATACATGGAGTTAATGAATCAGGACCCCCATAACACGTCTGTGTGACTGATACTTTCAGTACTTTGTATCTTTTTTTAATTGGCAGAAAAGCTGAATGTTTAAAAGTACTTTGTAGTTACTCTTTGTTCTGTACAGAGTTAAAAAAAAAAAAAAAAAGGTTTAAAGCTTTGTTCAAAATGCAGGAAAGTCAAACTGACCACACACCCTGCTCATCCACTCCTTCCCTTTAACATACTACGCACAGTCGTAGAATCAAGTAGAAGATTTAGCAGCTGATAGATTTTTATCACCTTGTCCTCCCAGCATCGATGGATTAACTGCCATTTTTCTGCATTTGTTGACACACTTTAGCACCAGTATGGCAGGAGATACCTGAGCCTGCAAAACCGTCCCTATGCGCGCTGCTAGTGCTGACTTGAGCATATCTCCCAGGTGGCCTTTTGCATTTTCATTAAGTCTGACATGACACACACACACACACACGACAGAACAGTATCAGACCAGGGGTTTCAGACCCCTCGTTTTAGTTTGCTGTGCAGATAATCGGCAATAACGTGTCTCCCCTTAATAGCATTGTGTAGCTCAGAAACACAAGCCAGAGCAGCGAGCTGTGCTGTTACAGCTGGATCGTACTTTTGTTTTCAAGTCCAAACAAAGTCTTATCCTAGCATGAATATTTAAGCTTTAATGTTAGGTTATACCTTAAAAATGACAGGTTTAGCCGTTTGTTTGACATGTATAAAGAGACAGAAGCTAGCATAACATTAGCTTATAACCAGCTCTTATAGTTACCTGTCTAATGTGGTGACAATAACTAACTGCCACAATATCAGGAGCTACAATCGGTGGTAGCAGATGGCTGCTGGAAGTTTCTTCCTGTTAAAAGGGAGTTTTTCCTTCCCACTGTCTCCAAGTGCTTGCCCATAGGGGGTCGTCTGATTGTTGGGTTTTTCTCTTTATCACTGTAGGGTCTTTACAGTATGATCAAATGAAGCTTCTTGAGGCGACTTTTGTGATTTGATGCCATATAAATAAAACTGAACTGAATGACACTCCCGACTTCAGTTCAGGAGACGAGATTTCAGGTGAGGAGGAAGAGGATACGGTGGAAGTGAGGAAGGAGAATTCAGTTTAATTCAATTTTATTTATACAGCACCAAATCATAACAACAGTCACCTTGAGGTGCTTTATATTGTAAGGTCGACCCTACAATAATACATACAGAGACAACCCCAACAATCATATGACCCCCTATGAGCAAGCACTTTGGTGACAGTGGGAAGGAAAAACTCCCTTTTAACAGGAAGAAACCTCCAGCAGAACCAGGCTCAGGGAGGGGCGGGGCCATCTGCTGGCACAGGTTAGGAGTGAGAGAAGAGGAAGAAGATGAAAATTAAATTTACAAATCCTGCTCATATATAGCTTGAAAGAGCTTTTGTGTCTGCAGATTAAAATTATCTTATAACAGCAACTTATCAGTAGCTTTTTTTTTTTAGCTAAATTTAGGTGTTTACAGTGTTTTTCCCATTTCCTCTTATTTCTGGAAAAAAAATTCTAGCATAATTATGCTGAAGTACAGAGGGCTAAAAAGGGCTTAATTTCAAAAACAACACAATTACTGTTTAGTGTGAGCATACTGTCGAGTTTTGTGCCTCGTGCCAACAACAAGACATTTTCAGTCTTCACAGCTCAGAGTCAGAAGCTACCACTTCCTTGCACCTAGCACTCACACAGAGACAAAGCCCAGCATGACTCTGACTGTCTTACAGGTCAGAAAAGGTGGTGTTTTCAGCCAGACAGCAGCTACTGTTGTGCCAAGACTGCACCAATCATGAGGCAAATGCTGCCTTATCACAGAAGCCAGGTGTCCATAGCAGCTAAGAAAGTGAGCAACAACAAAAAACTTGTGTACAACACAACACCTGGTGTTACCGTCCCGCTGTTTCTCTTGCCTGCTCTGACAGCGTGGATGATAGAAAGTCACCTTGGTGCAGAGTTTCACCCAAAAAGTTCCAACGTGCCAGCTCGAAGCACTGTTTCACAGATTCATGTCTGCAGTTAAAACTTATGGGTTTAACAGTGCACATCGGTTTGAATGTGAAAATTATCCTCAAACTTCCATAATGGAGGAAAAGCACATTTAAATGGCCGTAGTTTAAATAATTAATCTCTAATGCAAAGCAAATTAGCACGAAATAAAAGTGAAGCATTTTCCGCAGCTATTATACAAATCCAATACTGACTCAACGGGTAAAGTAAATTCCACAATCTTAATAATCCCAATATGATGAGTGTGATCTGACTAATTACCGCGATAATGAGGATACTTATTAATTTATGTATTCTCAAACCCAAGGCAAAGGGAATGTGAAAACACCGTTAACTCTTACCTCGACAGTGAACTCCTTCATCGTAGCCGTCTTCACAATCTCGAGCCCCGTTACACAGTTTGTTGAAGTGGATGCATTTTTTTGTCCCGGTACACTGTATGTGATTCAGGGGACATCTGATCACCACCTCTCGTGCACCTAAAGCAGCGAGAACAAAAAGACCAACATTTATTTTAACATTATTAATTCATGCTTACTAAATGAACTTTGAGCATAAGGAAAATCATTTACAGTGGAGACAAAAAGGCCATAGTTAATTAAAACAGCATATTTCATTGTAATCATTTGCATTTCTTGCACGTAATCATTTTTACTGGGTGTTTTTTCCTGCGTCTCCCCAAAATGCTGATACTCCAAGACCTCTTTTACAGGAGGACGAGGAACCTATACATATGCAAATGTGTTTGCACTTCACAGCATTGTTCTTTACACACAACAGATGTTCGCCACACTGCTTTGCAGACACATCGGTGACGTCCTATAACAAACGGCCCGACTCTCGCCGTCAGCCAGCCAAACGGCACGGAGCAGCTGTTTAAGGATTCACGAGGCCCGTAGGTGACCCTCGTTCACGCAGCAGCCACCAGAGCACATAAAACACAGCTGACCAATACACCAGCACAGTAAATGTGTCACAGCACCACCTTAACTACATTGATATCAATTACCAGTGTGCTGTTGCAGGCACTTAATGGGAAGATTTATCGTGCATGTGATGAGATCTGTAACAATCCCCAGAGTTCTCCCATCCCAGCACACTCGGACCGCGCTGACCAGATGATTTTGTGTCACCTGTCATACTGTAAAGTTACGAATCCAGCAATTAATGTGGTTATTCCAAGGAAAGAGCCCTGCAGATTCACACAGGGAACATGTGGACATGTTCGTTTCTTCTCCAAGAAGTGGTGACGAGCGATGTTCTTTAATGAATGTGTCTTGGCTTTAAGCCCTTCAAGCACTGATGATTCCCACTCTTTATGCCACATTTAGGTAAGTCAGCTCTATGTGACCTTGTCTCTGAGAGTTTATATTTCACATGAACAGCAGCCATGTCTGCTGGGACCCAGAATGTGTTTGGAACACGAGTCCTTCAGATCCAGCTGTCAGAGGCTTCATGGATCTGAAACCTAACTTACTCTCTACAAGACAAATCTTGAATCTGTAACTCTTCATGTTTAAAACACTGCTAGGGGTTTTGTGCATTCTAGTTATGTACTGAGAAATATAAAATGCACGTACACCTCATGCATTTGGAAACAACACACTCTCACCTCAAACACATCTCCTTCTGTTAGACGTTAAATGTGAAGTAAAGCTTTGAGTGGAAACGCTTCAGGACACACGCAGAGAGAGGGACACTCTGTCACAGAGCATTCAGCCCGCTGCTCCAGTGTCCATTTGGCTAATTTGCTATTTAACACACAGCTGTAAGGGTCTCTGACAACATATCAGTGTTGTCCTCCTCTGCCTTTCCGTTCTCGCCGCATGGGTTCTAATCTAATGCGATAAGCGGAGGGATGGTGCATGAATATTCAGCGGCTCTGAGCTGTCATACAGGGGAACACAGATGGTCTCTCAATGGCTGAGGTGCCACAACTCCTTTGTCGATTGGCAGCCTACTGTACAGCACCGGATGATCGCTTGGAGTGGAATATACAGTAGAGGATTAGGCTTCATCATATATGTTCCTCTGTAGATTATTAGAAATGAAGACTGTCTCTTTAAGCGCCTGACATCATCTTTGAAATCACCAAACTAAGTGTCTAAAGGATCAAACTGAAGAGTGAGATCCACAGAATAAAGATTAAAAATTAAACAATTAGCCATATTAAAATCTGTATAAAATAATGTCAGCTGGAATGAGTGTCTGACAAACATAAAACCTTAAACAGAGGAAATGTGCACCCCAGTCAGATATGCTAAAAATGAATACAAATAAAAATTGTGTGATAAAGATTAAAATATCAAAAACAAAGCTAGAAGTTAAAATAAAATCTCTTTCTGTGGTGTCAATAGTGCAGCTGTGTTACTGTGAGCAGGGCCATACCTGCTGCCACACACTTCTTTCAGAGCAGATATTTAACTTTAAAGAATAATTCATATCACTGATTGATTTCCAGTTAGTGTCCCAATAAGCCACAAAGATGAAAATCACCACAAGCCCCCTTACGGATATTAACACACCCACTAAGACCTGCTTCCAGGAAAGAAAGGTTCACGTCTGAGCTTCTCTCACAGGTTTTTATAGAGCGACTGCAGAGCAGATTTGTATCATCTCTGGGACAAATCGCTTTAAATACCAGATTTATTCATCACAAAAACGTCTGATCTGGCAAAATCATCAATGCATTTTTTCAGGCAACTAGTGAGAGGTGGAAAGAAATGTGATCATTTTCACTGGTCAGCATTACAAATCCATCGGGGTCTCAGCCAAAGACACCAACTGTATTGTTTATTCTGTCTAAGCTGTTAGATGTTCAGGTGTTACAGTCCTATAAGCTCACCTGTGTGATTTTAGAAAAATATGACCAGAAAAGAGCAACATTCAATCCCAACGCAAAGTAGTTTATTTAAAATGAAACCACTGCGCACTAAACAGCTGCCTGTGATATTATATGTAAAGACACATACTAATAATAATGAACAGATAACAGATCTGGTGTAAAGAATACAAAGTAATACTCTGAATATGAACTAAATAAAAACTTGGGCCAAACAGAATTTCAAAGATAAAAATGATTTTTAGCCAAAATTTCAACCTTGCAAAAAGAAATAGCTCAAATTTTTCATCTGTTAAATTCATTATCATTGACAGAATTTTCCATCTGTTCACTTCTCGTGACTTTTTGCTTTAGACGTAGTGTGAAACTAAATAATGTGGATGGGAACTTGAGGTCGTGACTAGTCGCTGCTGCATGGAGACAGAGTTCCAGTCATACTGGTCCGGATGGTTGAGTCTAGGAAACGTGGCCACGATCAGGCAAAATGACCTGTGCAGGAGGGAAATGGTGCGACAGCAGAGATCAGACTTTTCTCTGAGACCAAAGATCTTCAGCAATGAGAACATCAGACGTGACAGTGAAAGAACAACTGTTGAAAATCAAAGGGAAAAAACATTCTCCTTATTCTGTTAGATGCAAAACGAACCCTGCAAAGGTGCATCACCCTCGTCACAGACTGGCTCAAAGAACATGACAGGAGGCTGATTTAAAAGATAATTTCTTGAAAATAAACTAAAAAGCAGAAACTTTAAAGAGATCACTTTACATGGTAGAGAGACACTCACAGCTCCTCTGGGTCTGCGTTGTAAGTGTGGAACACCCAGATGACCTGCATCAGGTTACAGCACGCCCATATCTGAGCCATTTATCAGCAACAGCAGCTCAGGCCTGCTTCCAACACAGTGCGAAGGGCATCAGACTGTAACAGCAAGTTACACTCAGACAATGATTCTTTGCCCTCATAAACACATTTGGAGTAAAAATGTAACTGAAATATTTATTAAGGAGATTTTAATTTGACCAGATTCCACAAAAATTTAGTGTTTTACATCGTACTCGTGTAACTAAATTACATGGAAAAGATACATGTAATCACATTACTTAAAGTCACCGATGGCATCAGACACATTGCTGTTGCGTTTTGGACTGAGCTTAGATTATTCGGATTATTAAAGAATGATTAAAGCTTTTGTCAGTATAGAGACTGATACACTGAGATACAAAGACTGATGCCTCCTCCTGGTTATTCTTCGCTCAGCTGGTAGGAACTAAGTGTTGTTATTGAGATTAAATCTCTTTGAAAATAGTTTGTCATACTTTTGTTTATTTATTGGAGATGTAAAGATTCCAAATCTGGGGAAAAAAAATAGCATAAACATCGCGAGTATTTGGCTAATACGATTATATTTTCATCCACACCTCCTTCATGTATATTTTTAGAAATACTTTCTACAGTCACACAAAAGATGCTCCGATGTTTTTAAAGGCTAAACAGATGCTCAGTGGTGCGTTTCCCCGGTTAACATATCAGCATCTAGCAGCTTAGCTACCCCGACACAGTGATCCTTCATGAATGCTCCTGTGTGGCTTAATCCTCCTCCTCCTCTGTTTGTGTTTGCATTAATGCCCCGAGCTGCTGCACTGTTGCACCTCTCCATGCGGACATGAGGGAGGTGGGAATGTGCAAGCTGGCACATATTTGACCCTGTATGTGTCAGACGTGTGCACCCACTTCTTGGTCATAAAACATGTCTCCTGCACAATCAGTCCACCCTGGAAAAAGACCGGGTTCATACACTCATCTTGGGAACGCCCATAATGAGTGTTAATATCAGCACGGTAACAATAAAAACGCTGACATGTTGGAATTAATCGATTTCCATTTAAAACAAACCCAAACAGCCTCAGGCTTATTAAAAATCATTCACAGTAGAGTTAATACTGCCACCTCACAACCAAAGGGTTCCTGGTTTGAATCCTGGCCTGACCCGATCTATGTGAGTTTACATGTCCACACCGTCCACAGACATGCGTGTTAGGTTAATGAGTGATCCTGACGAGGTCACAGGTGTTTGTCACTCTGTGTTACCCTGTGACGGCTGGAATAGCTCGTTTAACCTTCATTGGCATACACAGAAGAAACTGGATATATGAGTTTTTTTTATACATGTTAATTAAAAATCATGGAGCTATTTTCCTACTTTGAGAAGTGAATGAGGAGAAACCAGCTGGGCCAAACTAATACCTCTATTTAATGTAAAATGAGAGGCTTCTAGGGGGGAATTTCAGCTGCAATGTTCATTATGATAATCATGTTAATCTGAGCTGCTGCCAGTTTGTGTGGAATAATGAATTCATAAAAGAAAATAACACAGAGCCTATCAGCAGGGGAAGCTCCTTGAACTAGCAAGTACAGGGATTTATCATATCCCTTAGAAATAAAGATTTCATTTCCTTAATTTATGGTTAAAGTTGGCGATCAAAGAGGCATGGTAACGCCCGACCTGAGGCGACACCAATGTTGTTCCCATAATGGCTTTATAACAGCATCGGGCTCTTTTGCAGTAAATCCTGCAATTACAGTGATATTAGCTATTGTACAGAATACATTTCTCATCTTTAAACTCGTTATCGTCT